TGTATTTGATAAAATTACAACGATCCTTATATGGATTGAAGCAATCTGGACGAATGTGGTAGAATTGCCTTAGCGATTACTTACGCAAAGAAGGATATGTGAACAATCATCTTTGTCCATGCATTTTTATTAACAAATTAGAATTGGTTTTGTTATTGTTGCAGTATATGTTGATGATTTGAATCTTGTGGGAACATTGGACGAGATCGAAAAGACGGCCACTTATTTAAAAAAAGAATTCAAAATGAAAAATCTCGGAAAAACAAAATTATGCCTTGGGTTGCAGGTTGAACATTTTTCGAGTAGTATTCTCATCCATCAATCAACATATACAGAAAAGGTTCTGAAACGTTTTTATATGGATAAAACTCATCCATTGAGCTCTCCAATGGTTGTCCAATCAATTGATATCAAGAAAGATCTTTTTCGTCCTCGAGAGGATGATGAAGAACTCCTTGGTCCTGTAATGCCCTATCTTAGTGCGATTGGTGTTCTTTTGTATCTTACAAATTGCACAAGATCTGACATAATTTTTCCAGTCAATTTATTAGCAAGATACAGTTCTGCACTAGCCCACAAACATTGAAATGGAATCAAATACATATTGCAATATCTTCGTAGTACAATTGATATGGGATTGTTTTATTCAAAAATACCAAATTTTCAATTAATTGGATATGCAGATGCCGGCTATCTCTCTGACCCACATAAAGCTTATTCACAAACAAGATATGTGTTTACCCGTGGCAGCACTGCTATATCATGGCGATCTATGAAAACAGACAATGATTGCAACTTCTTCAAATCATTTTGAGATACTCGTAATTCATAAGGCAAACAGGGAATGCATTTGGTTGAGATCATTGATCCAACATATTCGAACAACATGTGGTCTCTCATTAACAAAAGATAGCCCAACAGTATTATATGAAGATAATGCGGCATGCATTACATAGATGAAAGAAGGGTATATTAAAAGTGACAGGACTAAGCACATCTCACCAAAAAAATTTTATGCACGTGAACGCCAGAAAAAGGATGATATTGATATTCAGAAGATACGTTCATGTGAAAATCTAGCAGATCTATTCACTAAAACGCTTCCAACTACAACATTCAAGAAGCTGGTGCACAACATTGGAATGCGTCAACTAAAAGATCTTCAGGGTTGAACTAATGCAACAATGAGGGGGAACAATTGATCGAAGGGGTATTGGCATACTATACTCTTTTTCCTTCATCCAAGTTTTATCCCACTGGGTTTTCCTGGTAAGGTTTTAATGAGGCAGTTTTAACCTATGCAATACCATTTTCAGATTCACAAGTATACTGTACTCTTTTTCCTTCACTAGGGTTTTGTCCCACTAGGTTTTCCTTAGTAAGGTTTTAACAAGACATATTCTTAGTGTAGTGCAATGGACCCCAAGGGGGAGTGTTATATATATATATATATATATATATATATATATATATATAACTATACGGGGTCCACAATGGAATATGTCATCCATGAGGACACCTTTGGCTTGGGGAGCAAGATCACACTTATGGCTTATATTGGAAGCTTCATTTTGAAGCATATAAATAGCATGTATCTACTGTTGATCTGCGAACTACCATAAGAAGCATTGAAAATAAATGAAAATATATGTTACTCTTTGATCTCTATTTCTCTCACTATATATGTGTGTGTGTGCCTATTACACTGCCTATAACATATAAATTATAAGATTCTTTTTATTTGTTATTAAATAAATTTTTGTTTTTAAATTATTCAGAAAACTCTCAAACAATAAATATACACAAGCAGCCGGCTGGAGACCAACCAAAAGACGTTGAACAAAGGAAAATGAGAGAAAGGGGGGGAGGGGGGATTAAGAAGCAACGACCACCTCGCTACAATTACAACAGCAAGACGCTACCGGAACCGCGACCTAAAGGGTCCCTTCCTTACATTAACGTACGACGACCTATTATCCTTCTTCTCTGGCAGCATAGTTGATTATCCAGTGCAGCGTTCCGGTTGCAAATAGCAGCTACCCGCTACGTCATATCTCCTTTTCCGATCAACCATGTCATCGAAGCGCGACCTAGTATGTGTCATGGACAGTGACACAAAGTCGCCATCAGCGACCACCATGGTTGCCAGCAGAGACCAAAAAGGTTGCCCTTGGCGGCAGCCTTCATCTCCAAAAGGTGACCGCTCGCCAGAACCTATTTCTCTCTTTATCCTCTCCAATTGAGTTTTCTCTCCTATCTGTAATCACACACACACACACATACACACACACACATATATACTAACACACACCGTACATATATATACAAGATACATATATATCAAAGATTTGGAAGGTATTTAAAAAAAAAAAAAAGAAGGAAGCTTTTAAAATTTTGGGTTGGGTTGTATTCGAGTCGAGCCCAAGCCCAACCCGAACATGGCTGGGCTTGGAGAAAACCCAACCCGAATTGGACCCAATTTGTGAATTTAAAAACCCAAGTTTCAAAATTTTCGAGTTGGATTTGGGCTAAGATGGGTTCGCCAGCCTAAGTTGCACCCCTAGTTTGTATTGCTAATTTTATTACTCTTTTATTATTATTATTATTCCTATTTATGTTCATCTGCTCCTATTTCTAGGATTTTTTTCATATACTTTTATTTGTTGAATAAAGACCACACATTTAGGAGAAAAAAAAAAAAGAAAAAAAAAAGTAATGAAAATTAAAAAGAAAAGGCCATGTGTAATGAAAATCAATGGTGAGATACATAGATGTATAATTGTTAGAGAAAGAAATGACAAGTCAATTAGTAAAGTTGGTGAAGGGTAGTAGCATAATTTCATAATAACAATAGGATGGACAGTTTGGGAATTAAAAGATAATGTACAATAAATTTTTATGTTCAGGTCAGACTTTGATAAAACTCCATTAATTTGAAAATTTTGAATTTGACTCCATTATTTTGGCCTTTAACCTCCAAAACTCCATTTTTTTTTTTTTGTAATAATCCCAATAAAGAAGGCAACTTTATATATGGGCCATTATTGTAGCACAATTTTTATTAAAAAGGCTTACATTCAGAATAGACATGTCCCTGATTTCTTCAATTTTTTCATTCATATTAAGCTTTATTATTTATAGTCATACAATGTATATTTATAAAGATTTTTAATAGCGTAAAATATAGGTGCATATTGTTGATGTCCGAAACTTTTTCATGTTTTTGTAAAATCAAAGCATCTTTTTTTCTGCAAGAGTGTTTGTAAAATCTAATTTGTTACAAATTATAAAATAACTTTTGAAATTTAAAGTTTAATTCATTAATAAACAATAATTATGATTTAATTTATTAAACATTTTATAATAATAATTTTTAATATAATAAAACAATAATAGAAAACTTATCCAAGTATGATTTTATGAGATATAATCAACACAGTAAGTAGATACACATTTTTACACTGTTAAAATAAATGTTTGAATTGAAAAGAGCATTAAAAAAAAAAAAAAAAAAAAAACAACAACAACAACAGAGAGTACAAATGACGGTATGATTTGTGTTGAAAATCCTAAATTATTATCATAAGATAAAAATAATAGACTTTTTTTAAAAAAAAGAAAAAGTAAATTTATATTTAGGAAAGAATTAGAAAGAAATAGAATAAAAAAGTTAAAATTATATTATTAAAAATGTATAACTAACGTATTGAAACTCTGTGTATTTTTAATAATAATATATATATATTGCACACATAGTGATACACACACGCGACTTGAGAGAAACTGTCATGGAGAGTTCCGACATGGGCTAAGGCCCAGTGGGCTTGAGACACGTTAGGAGATTAATATATCAATTTCTTTTTTTCAACCATAACCTTTTGGAGTTCTTCAAATTTTTTAATTTTGTTGCATATCAATACTAGTTGTAACTTCATATTTCTTTCAGACTTTCTATTTTATTGACCTTCTTACACATCAATTATCTGCACAATTAAATCACTATTTCTTGAACTAAAAACGTAAATAGTGTTTTTATATTTTGTTGAGCTCATATCAAGTTAAGTAGGAGTAATTTTTAAATAAAAATTGTATTAATGTAGTTAACCTGATAAAAACCTAATTTAACCTTCCAACATCATCAACTTTGTGTGTTATATAGTTGTTCTGTGCCCTTTAGCCTTATTTACAGTTGAGCCCGATTCCTTAATTTTAGAACCAGAATTCATATTGATTTATCGGTTCAACAATTTTTTTTTTTTTTTTTTTTTTTTTTTTTTTTTTTTTTGCACCCTTAGCCGGCCATGTCCTAAAACCAATTATAATGCACAATTTAAAGAAATTGGTCCTATCAACATATAAAAACTGCCAACAATCAATTTAAATTGTGCATTTTGATTGGTTGTTAGTCCGCTTGATTCATCTTAAATATATTATGTATTTGAAGAGAAATTATTATATAGTTCTGGTCCATTTAATACTTACATAATATATCACCAGAAATTATTCTTTGGTCGGGTTTACATGACACTTTAAACTAATATAATAAAAGTTAATGTTAAGGTTAAACAATTTGTTTAACCAAATGAGTTTCTATTCATTTAATGTTGTGGATAAACTTAAATGGGTCTCATTCACTAAATATGGGTATGTTGATGGGACTCCAAACAAGGTGATGCCATTCCAGTGAGGGAGAAGAAGGGGGTTCAAGACACAGCATGGTATGTTTCATGGAAAACTTCCCAGAAGGGGAAGGAATCTAAATGATTTTGTCTCCACAGAAAGGGTTGGGAGGAGGAATAGCTAGGATTTCAGGGATGTGGTTTGATATGGTGTTTGGGAAATGCCAGGTGGGAGTCTGAAATGAAAGAATTGGGTGTCCCTGCCATCACCCACCATGTGTTTGATAATTGGAAAAAGCACAGCTTCTGAGTTGCCGTATCCTTCTCTAGCTCTGCATTGTTGACAAGGTAAGTTCTAACTTCTAACCCACTGCACCCATATTCTTTGAGAAATGTTTTGACTTTAGTGCCCATATGTGTTAGATAATTCCAACTCTCTTGAATGTTTCAATGTTTGGTAATCCAAGCCCACCCTATGCTTTAGCTTTGCAAATGGTTCCCCAAGCAACTTTAGCTCCTGTATGCTTCATTTCTGGCCCTGTCCACAAGAAATTTCTGAAAATGCCATTTAGTTCAGTGATTACACTCTTTGGAAGGATGAACATGCCTGCCCAGTAAATGATTGTGCTGAAAAGAACAGATTTGATTAGGAGAAGCCTTAAGCATAAGATAAATGCCTGCATCACCAACTGGACTTGGATTGTTCTTTTTGTTTTTTGTTTTTTTTGTTTGTTGTTTTTCAAAGTGATTCCAAAAGTGTATGACCAAATATGAACCGCGAAAGTACATGACCCTTTTCTTAGTTTGTCTATACAGTGCATTCACTTATCAATGGAGATGAAGAAAGGACAACCCATCACCCAGTCAAAGATACTTGTGGTGGTCTTTTAAAAATATTCATGCTCAAGCTTTTCTATCCGTTTCTTTTGCCAATTTTTTTGAACTGGCGGCTATAAAACTGATAGGGCGGCAAAGGAATGCCTTCTTTCTTTTCTTGTTCCTCTATCCTCTGTCCTTCCCAGCTTTCGGTTTATCAAAGCTCTTTTCTTGTTAATTCCTCCATCCATTGTCTTCACCAGTTTAATTTATTAAAACTCTCTCTCTCTCTTAAACAACGTAGTTATTGTAGTTCCTTTTTTTTGGGTATAAGAAGAATCCTAAAGACTTCGTTTGGCATTCATAAAAAAAAGGACTTTGTTAGGCCATGGCCATGGCAAAGTCTATCTTTTACAATGTATCAGTGCTTTTCATGCTTTTGTGTTTTGGTGTTATTGAAGCAGCTCCTGAAGGTGCTCTGGTCACAAACCTTCCAGGGTTCAGTGGCACTTTTCCTTCAAAGCACTACTCAGGGTATATACGTCTCCTACAATAATTATATTAAATAAAACTAAACATTGTGTTTAATTTGTGTTGATTCTTGTAACTTGGAATGTGAAGATTTGTCACCATAGATGGGAATCCTCCAAAGAATCTATTCTATTACTTTGTCGCGTCCGAAAGAAACCCATCAAATGATCCTGTTGTTTTGTGGCTCAATGGGGGACCAGGTTGCTCTAGCTTTGATGGCTTTGTTTATGAACATGGTACTGCTTCTTAATTATTCATCAAAATTTGATATTAAAATTTATCTCTTGTCAATTGATCAATGTTCTCTATTTTCTCTATATATTTTTTCTATTTCTTAAAAGTGAATTCATTTTTTTTCATGTCATACCTTGGATTTTACTGTTCTATATTGAATTGATCATTGCCAATATTTGTCTATGAACTTGGTTTTAAAGCATTCAAAACTTGATCACTAACTTGTCCTAAAGGTTAGGCTATTTCTTCTTCTTCTTCTTCTTATTTATTTATTTATTTTATTTTATTTTTTTTCCCTCTGCCCCTTTTATCTCAATATTAGAATGCCTAAATGGGGCTGTGGAAGGAGGGAGAGAATTTTTTAGAATGAAATATTTGAGTGATTCAATGTATTTGCGAACGCACCATTTTTTGGACAGTGGGTTGTTACCTTTTCACTAATTAGAGCTAGTACTCAATCTGCATTGTGTATCAAGTCACATGAATTTCCTTAGATATAAAGTTACAGGAATGAAGTCATATTCTCAATTCTCAATCCATTCATATTACAATTCAGACCACATTTAATTAAAAAAATTCAATCTCTATGATGCCCTTTTTTCCGTCAACATTTGTTACTAGGAATGCACTATTTATTTTGCAGGACCATTCAATTTTGAAGCTGGAAAGTCTAAAGGAAGCCTGCCCATTTTACATCTGAATCCATATAGCTGGTCTAAGGTTGGATATATAATCTTTTACAATGGTTTTTCATTTTTGTCTTGGAATTTTTTTTATTTATATATCCTTTCAATGACATGAACCAAAATAGTTCATAAATTTCATATTGATTTTGCTTTTCCTAACTTAATTTATTTCTCGTATTATCTCAAAATCTCTCGTGTATTTGCACTTTCCGAATTCTTGTCCCAGGTTTCCAACATGATCTATTTGGACTCCCCTGCTGGTGTTGGCTTATCTTACTCTCCAAACACCACCACATACAAAACTGGGGACATACAAACAGCCAAAGACACACACAATTTTCTCCTCAAGGTAATACTTTAATTCTTGAATTATTCTATGATAAACTTCAAGATAAATTCAATCCAATAAATTTGTGTTTTTTAAAAAATATATAGTGGTTTGAACAATATCCGGAGTTCCTTTCCAATCCATTTTACATCTCCGGAGAGTCTTATGCTGGAGTTTATGTGCCAACTCTTGCTTCTAATGTAGCAGAAGGTATTTTATGCTCACATATATTGTTACACATTCATGTTCTATGATCAGGTTTTTAATTTAGTGTAACATTAACTGGCCTTGTTGACAGGAATCAAAAGTGGTGTGAAGCCCCTTATTAATTTCAAGGTTTGTGACTTTGGCAACTCCAAATTCAAGGATTAGGTTAGATATATACATTGTTTGGATGAGCTTTGAATCCCATTGTGCAGGGTTACATGGTAGGAAATGGGGTCACAGACAGAGTATTTGATGGCAATGCTCTTGTCCCATTTGCACATGGAATGAGCCTAATCTCAGATGCTATGTTTGAGGTGTGTGAAACATATTTATATATATATATATATATATATATATATATATATATGATTTGAATGTTGCATGGAGATTGTAAACAATTAAGCCTTGACCACTTTATCATCCATTTGATTTTGAACTAACCATTTTCAAAGTTTTGGTTATTATGAAATTTTGACCCATTCCTGTATAGAATCAATCAATTATTTCCACTGCTATATGTGAGTCAACTCTGGATAAAACTGAGGTCTACCCATGTATATCTTCATGTACATATACTTGTTTACGGCAAAACAATAATATACTTTAGTTCCAAGTGTTGTAGTTCTAGCTTTATTTTAAAAACAAGTTTAAACGGTTACATGATATAAACCTGCTGTAGGAAGCTCAAGCGGCTTGCAAAGGTAACTACTATGATACCAGCAGTGAGAGATGTTCAAATATTCTTCGAAAAATCGATGATGTAAGTTGGCTTAATTATTTCACATGCATATTCTTTAACTTTCATATATATATATATATATATATATAAGCAATGCTACCACGAGGACATTCTCACTAAGTTCACTCCATTTCATTTGATGGATTGAGAGGCACCCTCATACAATCTTTGATGGCTAAGAAGGTGCGAGCTCAGTGAAAGTAACCTCATGATTGAGTTTTTTACCATATAATTTACTGTATTTGTAACCTCGCGATTAAGTTACGATTGAATTTTTTTACTGTATTTGTTTCCGATATATTTATGAAAAATATTTATCATCTTTGAAATTAAAACAAAAACACTGTATCATTTCTTTTCTCGAAGTAAGAAAATTACTAATATGGTTTAATTTTGTATGAAAATTACTAATAGTAGTTGTCTAATTTTGTACTCGTTTTTGGGGTGACTAATTGTTAGGTTTTGGATGGTCTAAACATATACGACATCCTTGAGCCTTGCTACCATGGTTTACCAAGTGGAAAAGACAATGATGTAAATGGAAGCGCCAACAGCTTACCATTAAGCTTCAAGCAATTAGGAAATAGTAGTGAGAAGCCTTTCGGAGTGAGAAAAAGGATGTTTGGTCGTGCATGGCCTTTCAGAGCACCAGCAAGAGATGGCCTAATGAAATTGTGGCCTCAGTTAATGGCAGAGGTCTATGTTCCATGCACGGTGAGTGCTCTCTCTCTCTCAAGTACGTCTAAAGTTTTTAATATCAGTTAAGGTAAGTTATTATGTCAGGCATTTTTTTTTTGTTAGGCAGTGTTAAGAGCAAGTGAAATTTTTTCTTTTCCGTCAGCAGTTATTATAATATTTTAGTTGAAATGGGAGTTAAACTTACATAGATGAAGAAAATTTGGTAAATTTATTACAAAGTAATGATTCCAGAGGAAGTCAGTCAATCAGTGTAATTTTTAAATAAATAGGGAAAATGTACGTGGAATTATGTTATATCAGATGAGAGCTAAGTGTAATTTTACCCTTTTAATTAATTTTCTTGTCTATTACGACCATTTTTGGTAGTCTTAAAGAGTGTATCAAATTCTTCGTTTTTATTTTCTCCATTAATGATCATATTAATGGTTTTTATATACAGGATGATACGATAGCAACTGTGTGGCTGAACAATGATGAAGTTAGGAAAGCAATTCATGCAAATCCAGTACGTGCACTTCCTAGCTACTTTCTAGTTGGAATCTCTATTAGTGCCAGTAGTTCTTCAATGTTAGGGTCTGTTTGGTTCATTTTTCTGAGAACAGTATTCTTTTTTCTGAAAACTGAATACTGTTCTCAGAAAATTGTGTACAAAAACCTGTTAGGTTGACCCTTTTTTAGAACTGTTTTCTAAAAACTCAGTTTAAAAAGGCCTATTTTCATAAAACTGTTTCTGTTTCTGAATTTTTGAGAACTGTTTTCTTAATGCAAACCAAGCAGGCCATAATCTTTTATATGACTCCTATTTCTTGTTTCTTGTTAAAATTAGGAAAGTGGACCTTGGGCCTTATGCACGTCTAACCTAAGATACTATCGTGATGCTGGAAGCATGATTAGCTACCACAAGAACCTCACCATTCAGGGTTATCGTGCGCTTATATTCAGGTAAAAGTATTCTCCTTTTTATTTCATAGTTAAGATTAATGAGACTTGTAGTGAAGTATAATATATAAACACGCATAATTATACATATAATTACGCGGGTAAAAGTTCATACATGCATGAACATGACCAATTCTTATATAATTTTGTTGCAGTGGAGATCATGATATGTGTGTGCCACACACTGGGACCGAAGCATGGACCAGATCACTTGGATATCAGATTTTGGATGAATGGAGGTCTTGGGTGTCTAATGATCAAGTTGCTGGGTAATCTCTCTCTCTCTCTCTCTCTCTCTCTCTATATATATATATATATATATACATATATATATATCCACTTAATTTTCTTTCGATGGCCCTTGATGACATATTCTACCATTCACATGAAGCCTTACTCAAAAGATAAAATGGACTATTTTTTATCTATTGCAGGTACACACAAGGATATGCTAACAACCTCATCTATCTCACCATCAAGGTCTGTATATGAGAAATTGCAATTTTTTATTTTTTATTTTTTAGGTATTTCTTAAAAGTTTTCAAAGGTCATTTACTTGGTGCAATTATAAAAGATCGCCACTTTTCAAGTCAAAATTGGCTTGAGTTGAGTAGACATAGCCTCAAGTTGTGTCTACTCGACTTAAGTCTATTCGGTCTGAGAAAGTGTTTTAAATTATGAAAATACGAATTGACAAGAGTGAGACCGAATAATCACTTTCTATAAAATAATACAAGAAGATTTTGTCCGTCTCTCGTCTCTCTCTCCTAGGTCCATAGATGGGACATAACTGTTTGATTAGTTTAGTTATTTGTTCAAGTATCATTTATCCACAAATATATACAGATTTTTTTTAAAAAAAATAATAATAATAAAATGTTATTGTTGTCAAATTGTACAGGGAGCAGGGCACACTGTACCTGAATACAAGCCACGAGAGTCATTGGACTTCTACAGCCGTTGGTTGGAAGCAAAAGCCATATGATAGATACCTGCTCAAGATGTTAATTATTTTTTTTATTTACACAAGAAATTGAATAATATAAAAATATTTCAAATTCACCAGAAAAGGCAATGAAAAAAAAAAAAAAAAAAAAAAAACCATCATGCTCTTTGTTTCATGTGCACCTCTCTTTGAAGAGCTGATCCTCACTTGGTACTAGAACAACTTGCAAGAAAAAAAATAAAGTAAAAAAAAGTGGTATTCCAAAGTGTGTTTACATACATATATATATATATATATATATATGTGTGTGTGTGTGTGTGTAAGTTGTTTTCAACTCATGGGCACACCACAATCCAAAAGAAAGTGATAATTTTTTTATTAGAGGTCTCAATGCATCCAAATTTGAGATTTCACAGGTCACTGCCATTTCTTATAACTCCAATTTAGCTGTCTATTTATATTTTTGTATCCACATTTATTAATTTCTATATATATATACAAAAATATAAATAGACAGCTAAATTGGAGTTATAAGAAATGACAGTGACCTGATTGTGAAATCTCAAATTTGGATGCATTGAGACCTCTAATAAAAAAATTATCACTTTCTTTTGGATTGTGGTGTGTCCATGAGTTGAAAAACAACTTTTCAATCTACAGCTGTCCACTATATAGTAGAGTTTATGGCAGCAAATTATATATATATATATATATATGTTCAACATGGGTCAAGTGTGTTGTGCCTTGTGACAGACACTTACATGTTTGGTCAAATCTCTCTCTCTCTCTCTCTCTCTCTCCAATATGTTTGGTCAAATCTCTCTCTCTCTCATAAGACTACAAGGCTACACAACCTTTCATGTGAATAAAAATTTGTTACAAGGATTTATTAATCTAAAGCATATGGTAACCTATAAACTACTTTTCATTTTCAATTCATGTCTATTTTCATTAAATAATTTTAGGCCAATGAAAGACTAGAAGTCTTTTCTAAGAGGTCAATGTTATCCCGACTCTAACGCAAAATCCGGATTAGATAAGATCTTATTCGATTCATTCTAGGGACAGAAATCTCTCACACTGTTTAGGTAGTGAGACCCAACCACATGTGATAGAAGACTCACCAATATGAGAGACACTGGACTAGGACAATGTGAAGAAAGTTAGGTTGGCTGGTTTGTTTAGGTAGAAAAAAAGGAAAAGTTGAAAGCATTTTCTGGTAACGTTCATACTATTTAAATTATAAAAGGAAAACTTCATATACTTTATGATAACTGATTTTTATTTCTTTCACTCTCACTTTATTTATTTATTTATTTTACTTTCCAAAATCCTTTTCCTCCTAACCAAACAAAGCCTAGGGAAGTATGAGAATTGAAAATATCTTGAAGCTTGACACACTGAGCTACAGGTGTGGTGGAAATATCTCAATTTGAGGGAATAGGAATCTGGGGAAGCTTCCAAAGTCTAAAACTACAGTGGTCAACAAACAACATATGGCTCTGAAATCTTCCAACAAGTCCAAAAAAAATACATAGCCCACCACATTGAGCTTTTGACAAATCCCATCCTATCAAATTCTGAGCTGTATCAATCTGTTTTTCTTTAAAACTTAGTGGCAAAAGCTTTATGGATCTTTAATGTAAGGGTGTAATCTCCCATCTTTTTATCAATAAATACAACTTGGAGAGAGAGATAGAAAGATATATATATATATATAGAGAGAGAGAGAGAGAGAGAGAGAGAGATGACAAGTGGGAAAGATTTTAGAATCAAATTTTTCAAGAAGAGAGATGGAAAAATACTTCATAACCACAAATTATTATCAAGGCAATAAACCAACAAATTTGACAGAAGAATTGAAGGCAAAAAAAAATCACGGAGAGTTGGATTCTACAAAATTCCAATTCTTCCACACTAGAGAGAGAAAGAGGATGATTTCCCAGACACACTAATACAGCCCGGCCCACCTCTCCGAACCAGAATAAACAACAATGGCCCTACATTTTTCACCATGTGAAGAATAATAAAAAAGGAAAACATAAACCAGAGAGACAAAGCTTAAACAAAAATGGAATGGAAATTAATTGAGAAACCAAAACCCAAACTGAACCTTCTTTTGTCTTCCATTATTTCCGAGCCTTTGTCTCCCCGGAAGCTTTCTTCTCTTCTTTCCCACCAGGCACGAACCTCGGCAAGTTCACCATTGTATTTACACGAGACACTCCTTCGAGAGCGGACCACTCTATTCCTGACTCTGCATATACTTCTTCCTCCTCATCATGCTTTGAGGGTTCCTCCTCTTTGCTCCCTTCGGCAACAATTTCCTTGCCAGTTCGAACAGTTCCAGAACGTTCCAGTCCTGTAGGGCTAGAGGGATCATCTTTCCCACACCCAATGTCAACTTGTTCCACTGAAACCATCTCTTTTGGTTTAGCAATGGAAGCTGTAGATAAATTGTTTGTGTTTGAGTCGAGGAAGAGGCAAACTACAGCACAATCATCGACTTTAGAAGTTGGGTATTTGCACCTCCAAGCACGAACTGCAGTCTCAACCAGGGTCCGAGCTGCAGTTGAACGTGCTGGGACAGAAGCTATAATGTCCACCACTTCTTTGTTTGTGAGCACATCCCAAATCTGTGATAAGTTCAACAAACTTAAGACCAAGAATGATAAAGGATTAATTAACTCAATAAAGCAAATGGTTTGAGTTGGGTCTCATACCCCATCTGTAGCCAAGACTACGAACTCATCCTTCTCTGTCAGGCGCCGATAAGAAATTTCGGGCACAGAGATAAGACCAAAATCCTTGAGGCAGAAATCTCCAAAAGCACGTGCCATGGCTAGACCAGGAGAGTCATTGTTTGGAAGCCAAACTCGGGAAACTTCTGGTTCATCCTGAAGGGCAAACACACGGCCTCTACATTTCCGGATCCTCTCTGCTTCCGCTATAGGAGTTAAAAAGTAGAAGTTCCAGACTAAATTTAATTACTTGCATTCCCTGTTTCTACTGTCGAGATAGTGGAAGAGCATTTTCCATAAAAAATTGAAAAGCAAAAATGAAAAGAAAAAAGGAAATCACTTCCTAGAAATGTAATATTTGGGCAAACAAAAGTATCACCTGTGCAGTAGTTAACCACTGAACTAATTTTGGTAAGACAATACAACCTAATTTGTCCAGTATATTTTCAGTTCATTGCGGACACCATAATAGCACCGTGCTAACTGCTTCAAAACAACTGCAAGACTTCCCCGCTTTTCCAATGCAATTTAACTTAATATATCCTATACAAATTTTCTGAGTTTCGCAATTTTTTGACACCATAATACCACGACCTCTTTGTACACCGCAGTTCTAATGTATTATTTTTTGTACATCATAGATAAAAGCATACATAACCAAGCAATTTTACTTGGCTTTCCATGGTAGCCAACTACTGAACCTGCTCTCAGGTTTTCCCTTACTGTTTTGACCTGTCCTTTCATGCCAAACCTCACCGCAGTTACCTGGATTCCCTAACTTGACACCTACTTAAACTACTCCCAGGTTCTCTTACTAATTTATAATTTTAACCCTTTGTTATCATGCCACTTCTCTGCTACACTATCCTCATGCATATTTAATTTTTTGATACCTTGAGTAATTTCCATACTTTAGGTTCATAAAGCACAACTAAACGTTGTGCCAAATAACATATACGAGCTCCAATCCCAAGTCTAAAGCGCCAATTTGGTGTTGCCAAACATAACAATAGTGTAATTCAGACCCACAAGCAGCAGGATTAAATATATATATATATATATAGAGAGAGAGAGAGAGAGAGAGATACCTGGAAGGTTTGGCTTTAGATCCACTGTTAACTGAACTGCAAGAAGAGAATCGTCTTTATCTCTCGTAGCCAGTACAGCTCTAGAGTCACCAACATTTCCAATCACAAGCTCCTGACCCTATAGAAATCAGAAAACAGTCAATGTGCTCATTATTCAGAAGAAAATATAATAATCCTATCGGAACAACTTTTAAATTTCAGTCAAATAGACCTGTTTCACCAGTGTAACTGCTGTTGTCCCACTACAGAAGCAATCAATATTCGTGAACATTCTCAGTTCCCTGTCCATAACTTTAAAAGCTTTCAGAAATGACTCTTTCAATGTCTGAAAGAGATCTGGGAGCTTTTCTGTTTCTTCAACATCAATGGAAGCCCTGGATTCATCCTCAGCAGATATAAAAGAAGTATCTTCAGAGTTCATGCTGCCTGTGGTATTAAGGCTGATTTCTTTTAGAACATCATCACTCTTTATATTAACTTCCCAGTGTGCACTTAGTTTCAAGGGTAGAGAATCTCTCACTCTCTTTGCAACCAAATGACCATAGGGACCATGGCCATCGAAAACACCACAAAAGACTGTGTCGGTCCTTGAACAAAAATTCTGAAAAATCCAATTTGCAGAATTAGTGAACAAAACTTCATCTTGCAAGCAAGTTGAGGAAATGGTGATACTTAAATCAACAGAATTATATAGTGAAACGCCTATTAGTTTATCCAGATGATGTCTATATATGTGTGGGTATATATGAAGATATGAATATGATCAACGTGTGAATGAGCAGTAAGAATGAAATCAAAGGAATCTTTGTTAGTGTTTACAGGGAATCCATGAAATTACAAAGTACCAAAATGTTATCCAACCTTAAAAGTGTGCACAGTCATGAGAATGAGCATCTTTCAGAAATCAACTCATCACACATTTTTCCTCAGTAATGAACTTAATCGACTTTAAATCATTCTTAACTTATGTCTTTAATACACAATATCTAGTTAAAGTGGCACCACGATATGTTTCAGTTCGAAGATATGTGCACCAGAAGTATTTAGAACACAGGCAATTAAGCAAAAAAATTAACATTTGTACTACTAGAATAAAAATTAGAAGGATGCAACAAAAGAGAATCACGAAGACATTCCAGATAAGGATGTGATCATCCAAATCATATGTTTGAACACTCATAAAATTTGCAAGAATAACCTCTCCTTTTTCTTTTTCTTTTTTATGGCATTTTGAATTAAAGAAATTGAGGTCGAATGTTAACCAATCTTTTCGTTGCTCAGATGCAGACTTGTGAGAAGAAAAGTGAGATAAGACTTAAAATCAGAGTTCCAATCTTGCACCTTAAAATCAGAGTTCCAATCTTGCACCCTAAAAACACAGTTTAATAATAATTAAGAAACTGCATCAAACTAACATAAAAATGTTCTCTCTTGAACCAGACAGCAAAACATCCTCCAGCTAAATACATCTAATACAAGACAGATAAGATAATAGAATGAGGATACAACCTAACTTGCTTAAGTTGATCAGAGATTGCATTATATTTGAAATCTCAGTAAATTGAGAACAAAATATACAAATAATTGCAAGACTATATCAATAGCTATGTAAGCATTAGGCATTAGTCAATAAAACAGTAAATTTGGGTTAAAGACGGTATGAAACCTGTCAATAATATTAACACCCATCAAATAATGGCATCTCAAGTAATCCATAACCGAAGAATAAAGATCTAAAAAATGCAAGTTCCCTCAAATTCTAAGTAGGCCACAGCAACTACAAAGAAAGCATATTCAACTGGTATTCAAGAAGCATTACTAAATATCTAATTCTAATAAACCATCAACATAACCATGAAATGGAAGAGGAGACAAAAAGCTAACCTCCCAAACAATCATGGCATCTTGATTGGTCCCTTTTCTGCCTTGCTGGGTAAAAAGCGAAGAGACTTCGCTAGACCCATTCAAGAACAATCTGCCTGGAATTCTGTGCAGCTGTTCTTCCCTCCTATAATCAAAGGAAGAATTCCGAGAACCGGGTCTTTTCTTTGACGTCTTCTTCTTCCTAACCCCCAGAGCAGACGTCGGAGAACCGGGGAGAGGGCTCCTGCTTTCAGTGGACAAGCAGGACCCCATCCTGAGGGCCCTGATAATATTTAGTATGCACTCCAGACCAGCCAGACAATCACAACCCCTGTTTTCACTAGACGGATCCGTCACAACACTTATAACAAAAATCCTGTAAACCCTTTTGATTTCACGGTCTAATTGTCAAATGAAACACCAATTCACATCCAACTCTCACAAATTGTGCTACTCAAATTCAATTACAAATCATTCAACCCTTAAAATAATTAGAATCTCAAAGTAGCTTTTTTTTTTTTCTTCTTTTTCTTAATAATGAAAAAAATATGAAAAAGTTCAGAAAGTGTAGAAGATAAATAGCAGATCTACAGAAACTCTTGCCTTTTTCTATTTTCTAGTTGCAAAATCCAACTGCTTTTCTCTCTCTACCGAACCCAAAACAGAAGATCAAACCCGTCGAACAACACTGAACCAACGAATCCGCGAGCAAATCTTCCACTTTATCCGAACCCGTGATCAATTTCCCAAACTCAATTTCCAGCTAACACAGCCCAATTCGAAGATTGAAGCTCTGAAATGAAACCAGAGCACTGCAATTGCAAAAAAATGAAGCCCTCCCCGACAGATCGAAACTGGAATCAATCCACAACAACAAACAAATGCATCAAAAACACGAAGGAATCAAGAGAATTCACAGTATTACAATGTAAAGTACGATGGAGGATAAAGTATAGCTCGTTGATTGGTCAAAGAAGAGAACGGAGCAGGTAGAGAGAGAAAGTGGAGAGGATAGAGAGAGAAAAGGGGGGTAGAAACAGATAACGGATGACAAGTTCAATATCAGGACTCAGGAGAGAGGAAAAATCGCAAGAACCGAGAAAATGGAGATCGCCAAAAAAACGCGACCAGGTACAGAAAAGAGACTTTCTAGAGAGAGAAAGCAGGAGAGTAGCAGAAAAAGGCCGCTTCACGGACAGTTTATACGAATTGCGTCCGTCACTCTCAAAATCTGAAAGCTTAATAATACTATAAATTAACTATAACATAAAAGTTAACTTATCACTGTGACATAAGATTTTTTCTTTTTTTTTTTCCTTTTTCCTAGACATAAGATTTAAAATATGAGTCATGTTATTTAGATTTATTTGTTAAAAAAAATTAGTGATACCAAAAAATTAAGTGATCTAACGGTATCATCTCGAACGGTGAAAGTATAGTGTGTGCCTTAATTGTTTTAACGTGAAAAAAAAAAAAAATAAAATAAAATAAAATGACTACGAGAAATGCCTTTTTTTTTTTTTTTTTTTTTTTTTTTTCACCACTATTAAGACTTATTTGGTAAAAGAATTAATGTAGTGATGGTGATTCTATTCACGAGTTTGATAAGATCATTAGCGTACATTAAATGTGTAAAAATCATTATGTACATTTAACAAGTGGATAAGATCAATACTGAACTCATTTACTTCTATGTATTTATTTATTTATATATATTTTTTACCTTCATCATGTGTATAAAACCTCGAAATAGGTCTAAATAAAAAATATAGACACAGAATTATATATATAGGTAGAGCAATCCTCTGTTAAAGCAAAATGACATAAATGTCATTAATTCATAAATAATAAAATTAAATATTAAGAATATACTTGTCATTTGTGTTTAAGAAATAGGCAAGAAAAAAAAAAGAAAAAGAAAAAAGTATTTGATTAAATTGTAGATCGATGGATAAGATGAGGATGAGGAAAAAAGTATGAGGTTGAGCTATCAAGTGATTGTCTTAAAACTCATTAAATGTTTACTATTTAAAGTTGGATAATAACGTGTTACTATATCTATTAATGTTAATTTTATCTACACACCCATTTATAATTACATTTAGATTAATTGTTCAAAATAATAATAATATCTAAGAGCATCTCCAATTGTTGTGTGTGCATGTGTGTCTATATATATATATATATATATATATATATATATATATATTTGTGTAATTATGATGCGTCACGATGAATTTATACAAAAAATTTAGATTATTTAATTTTAGCTCCAACTGTTGTTTTATACCTTTTATGTAAAAATACATCTTCCAATAATAACCAACCATGTGTCATGTCAACACCAAACCTACTTAATATATAGTTGATTCTTTAATGGAATGAGAAAGGGATAAGAAAGGAAATATGTTGATCTGGCAGTGTAAAACAACTCTTTTACACATTGGTGATGTGGCAATGTATCTTAACAGACAGATGGAGATGAAAAATTTTACACATCATAAGTGGCAGTGTATATTTTACACAAAATAATATTTTAACAGACAGCTGGAGATGCTCTAATAATGGACAAGACTTGTCTACTCACTGGTGAATAGATCATTCCTACTTACCCTGATGTAGTCCAATCACAAATGCACAAATAATTTGTAATTACACTATCAAAAAATATGATAAAAATGGACAATAACTTTTTTTTTTGGAATAAATAGTTACCCATTTCCTAATTTATCACTTTTCTAATTTTGTAATTGAGAATTATTTGTGCATTTGTGATTGGACTACATCAGCAGTAAGTAAGAATGACTTACTCGCTGTCAGTAGGCAAGTCTGGTTCAAAATACAATAGACTAACAATTTGTTTAAGAAAATTTCAGTGTTAGGTTAGAAAGGAAGGTGATAAATGCTTGGGCGAGCATTTGATACGTCAATTTGCTAGTCCAATCCAATTTGCGGATTGGATCGGATTGTTAAACTAATTGAGTTGTTAAAATGAATGAATGAGTTAGTGTTCTTTTAAATTAAATTAGTTAATGATCATTTAATGCTCTCTAAAAATATATTAGTTAATCATTATTTAAATATATGAATTAATGTTGATAAATTAAAATTTTAATTAATGGGCCATGGTTAAAAAACTAAAATTTTAATTAATGGGCCATGGTTAAAAATTAACAATATTGAGTTGGGAAACTCAAGTATGTGGATTCAATCCAATTTGTTTCGTTATCCCATGATTCAGATTTTTTCAATCTGTTCGGACCGAATTGAATTAGGATAACTGGATTGAATTAGATTTGATGGTTAATCTGACCCTATGTATGCTTCACCCCCTAATAAATGCAGCCCATTTATTTCTTTTAGATATACAATCTAATTTTAGTGTGAAATGACATTATTGTCTTTCATTCAATTCATGAGAATCATAACATAAGGGATATTTAAGTAATTTAGTTTAAGAAAAAACCAAAAAAAGTGCATTAATCATTTCTCTTTATATATTTTAAGGTTTTGGGCCTAGTTGCCGAAATTCAAAGGAACCGGATCATCTCTTGTACTTATTTTTATGTTATATTGTGTTGTACATATATTTTGAGCATGTAATACAATTATTTCGAAGTGAAGCACAATTAGTTGAGTGCCAAAATAATGATATTACGTAATTGACTAATTCGGTTGCAACTTAGTTGAGTAGCGAATTAGTAAAGTCGCGCATCTTTTAATATTAGTTAATATACAATTCATATTTGTGACGACTTTATAAATAGGGATAATTACGTATAAATGGGGTTAGGGCTCCGTATTTACTCAGAGGCGGAGTCAAAGTTTCATATTTCCCTAAAATGGATTGCTGACGTGGCACATGGATTATTACTGTTCAAGAAATGTTTTGCCAAAAATGTCCTTCTCACTTTTTTCGGTGTTGCCTAAAATGCCCTTTCTCCATAATTTAATATATTGCCCTAATTCGTTCGGTAAATACGATCTTCTTTGGCCCTAAAAATAAAATTCTCTCATTCGCTGCTCTCTCTCATCGCTGCTCTCTCTCTCTCTCTTTCTCCACGACTCTTTCTAAGCCGGTCCCTCCACCCTCTCTCTCTAGCTTTATCGCTGTAGGAATTGAGAAACCCAGCTCAATTTTCAGTCCAGCTACAATGGGCTTAGAAGAGGGATCAAGGGTTCTCGGTGAGCTTCAAACCATACATTTGTCAGTGCATTTTCATTGTTTCATTTGAATTTTTCTTGTTTTTTTTTTTCGGCTATAAATTTGGATTGAGTTATAATGATTTGGTGTTTCTTAAGCTTTTTTGTTGTAATGGTTCTTGTTTTTGTGTTTTCTTCTTATTGTAGGCTATTGGGTTTTCTAAAATTAGGGTTTTCTTCCTATTGTAGGCTATTGGGTTTTGTAAAATTAGGGTTTTCTTCCTATTGTAGGCTATTGGGTTTTCTAAAAATAAATATAGAAACTACACAACAGGAGCTAGCTGCAACTCCTTTTTTTTTTCACTCAATTTAATAGGAAAAATGTAGAGAGCGTGATTTTACATCATGGATCGCTGGCACTTATAAAATGTTTTACATAGCACTTGAAAAACAAGAGTTCAAATTTGAGGAGTTGTCACTTAAGAAGCAAGGAATTACTCTTATCGTGCACTATGGTTGGTGTCTCTCAAATTCGTTGTGAATCAGTTACTCTGTTTCCAATTTATTTTAATTTTTATTTTTTTTTTAAAAGAAATTGTCACTAAAATTTTCTTACTTCATCATCAATCAATTGCACAGAGCACCATCACATCAATCACTACAGACTCAACTGATTGATTTAACTGTCTAACAAGTTATTGGTTGTTTGTGAATAGGCGAGTAATGGTGAGGAGCCAATGAAGCTGAAGCTATATTCTTCCTGGGGGAGCTCTTGCTCTTGCCGTGTTCGTATCGCTCTCAACTTCAAAGGTCTCTCTCACTCTACTACTTTCCCTCTCTAAATTTTGATCAGTCAATTTCTTCTGCCGGTTTCACTTTCTAAAACCCTGATTTTTTATTTGATTTTAGTTAAAAAAAAATTTTTTTTGTTAATTATTGACCATTAGTTATCGCCTCTTTCAACATAGATCTCAAATATGAGTACAAAGCAGTTGATGTCATGAAATGAGAACATTTTAGTCCTGGTGAGAACATACATGGTGTCTCAAGAAATTTCTTGTAGTATTTAGGCTTATTTATATGATGATAAAGTATGATATTTATAATAATTAACATATTGGGCGTCTGGCATTAATGTTACACTATGGACATTCAAACTTCAGAATTCATTTTTTGTTCGCACATTATGATTAGTAACTTTTGTTGGTGGTGGATAATTTATCAAAGAAAGTTACTTTCAGCTGGAAATAGACATCAATTTAAAGGAGAAGTCACCCTCTCTCGAAAAGAGTCATAAGCTCTCTTCACTGGCTATTGGATTGAGAAAAATATCGTAATTTGTGAATGTAAAAACACAGTCTGAGAATCTTATATCAGTCCTATCCATAAAGAGAATTCATGGCTCTTGTCAACTGGAGATCTTTGGATAGCTTTACTATTAATTTAAAAGGTTTATTTGGAAATGCAGAAATGTAACACTAATTTCATAAGTTAGTGTTTGTCTTAACTTTTTGATCCATTTCATGCATCTAATAAGTGAAAACAAAATAGAAACTTGATTATTATCTATTGCTTGTAATATTATATATATATTCAGTTTGGCTTTATAAAATAGAGTCTTGAACGGTCGTTGCAATTTAATCATTGGCCTAAAAGTTTTTGGGACTCTAGCTCCATATTCTTTTTTGGTAGTCTTTATATATCTTGTTAATGTGTTATCTGTTTTTTGAGTATAGAATATTTAAATATCTTGTCAATATCTTGCTATTGTAGGCTATTGGGTTTTCTAAAAAGAAAGATAGAAACTATTAGATATAAGGGGACTACACAAAAGGAGCCGGCTGCAACTCCTTTTATTTTCACTCAATTTAATAGGAAAAATGTAGAGAGCGTGATTTTACGGGTTGGATTGCTGGCACTTATAAAATGTTTTACATTGCAATTGAAAAACAAGAGTTCAAATTTGAGGAGTAGTCACTTAAGAAGCAAGGAATTACTCTTATCGTGCTCGTATCATACTCTTTAAATACTAACCAATATGTGTTCCATACTTTTTAAACTTAGTGCTT